ATAAAAGAGAACATATACTATGGAGTTTTCGTATGGCACGGTTACGATGCCAGTGTATAGAAAGCTGTAAACAAACGCTATTTACAGTGGATATAATTGCATTACGAGAATTTAATTTATTAATTCATCGGGCATGGGTGACTGTTTAAGGTTCGAGAATGGAAAAGGGCGAGCTCTCAGTTGCAAATGAATTGAATGCACTGACATCTGCAGTTTTTAGAAAAAGCAAGTTAAAAGTGTCGGTATCACACAGCAACCATGCCATTAAATCTTTCGTTATTTTGTCGTTTAATATTAATATTTTCTTCTTTAGGTTTTCAAGGGTGCCGATAACGAAAATCGTAGTAAATGCGCTCTTTTCATAGTAAAACATCCACAACACATGCGGCATATTCACATTTTCTATGATAGCGTTACAATTTAGAACAGTGTATACATTAGTAGTCTAAGTTTGTATATTATAACTTTGGTGAGATTAACTTCAGTTCAGTTAATCTCATCAATTATTTAGCACCTTGGTGCTGATTGGGTAATCAAGTTTAGTAGCCTATCTTAATCATCAAAGAAGCCAACCCAGCAGCATGCCTGAATTAAAATTTTGCGTGTACAATAAGTCTATTGTTATTTTAAGCCTGAGGTACCGTAACGGTATCAAAATATGAGTCCATAATAGAATAGAAATTTCAATTTCATTGGCATGAAATGCTTACTTTCATTTTGGAAGCGGTGTAATTAAACAATGGCAGATTATTTTTCCCACTCAATAATCGTCGCGTTTCGACTCATTGGTCGTTCTTATTTTCCCGACCCATGGTGATAATAGAATTTTAAACAATAATAATATCCAAAATGCATTCTTAACTTTGCATGCCGTATGAAGCGACAGTAAACGGAATTCACCTAAGAAAATTATTGGCTATTTTGTTTATTTCCATTTAAGGACTATAAATTATTTTCTAACAGTAACAGACCAAACGAGACATTAAATCATCGCCGCTTTGTTTAGTTATTCGGAGTAAATAATGAATTGTCGGTGGCCTTATCATTGTTAATTATCAATCAACCAGTCATTAATCCCTGAGAAGTGATTACAGATTAGTATTACTCAATGACACGAACGGCTTGTTGATTGATTTACAATGTTTTGATTAACACTCAACGGCTATCTATATACGATCAGAATTAAGTTGTTGGTATCCGAGGAGCTTTTTATTTTGTGTTTTTAACAGTTTTCAAATGTAAATAATTTAATTAAATCAACCTGTCCATAATATCATATTCATTGTATTGAACGTTAAATCTTTAATAAACAACAGCAACAGTTGTTTTCTGCCACTTCTCAGAGTAAATCGCATGTAGATACACCATAACATTGCCCAAATCTAATTTCTAAAGTCTGCTTGAGCCTCGATGCGGCCACGGAACCACAATGCTTTGCACGCGTCATCTGGGCCAATCAGAAAACGAGTCGTGTTGGAAGCATAGCAACAAGCGGAGTATGTTTACATTTTTAGGGGTTTTAAAACCCTTTTGTATTTCTTCAAAATGAATTCATCGGCAATACTTTGGTCATATTTATAAACTAGAGATTCTCCGCTTTACAACGATGCCAAGCATTTTGCAAGAGGATTGACAGGTCGCCCCGCTGCGAGAAAAATATCTAATTCCGCTGAGAATATTCAGAAATAGACAGATTTAAGAATACGGTACTCTTACAAAACGTCCAAATAAAGGCGTTTTAAAATGTTTTATTGCTATTTTGATCTTTTGAGTCGATAGATAGTATATTTATAGACTCATTTTTGTGAAAATCTCAATTTCGATCAAAATCAATATTTTCGCTTATTTTGTCTCTTGTGCAAAATAAATTTTACCGCATTCCGACTCATTTACATGCGGCGGTTCACAATTTTTCGTACAATCAGGGCCATAATTCAGGAAGTTACGATCCGATATGCGCGAATATCGAAAGGAACCAAGATCTTTGGGATATAAACATACATTCCAAGTTTCATCAAAATGGCATGAAAATTGTGACTAGAGATTCTACAACCTTGATATACCATATTTTAAGACAGGAAACAAGATATGTGGGTTATAAACATGCATTTCATGAAGTTATGGTCCGATACATGCAAGATCTTTGGGAGATAGACCTATATTGCAAATTTGGTCAAAATCGGATAAAAATTGTGACCTGTAGAGAGTCCACAAACAGGGACAACGACAATATACGTCCACATGAAAATGTGGGGGCATAAAAATATTAATATGATTTTGACCCCAAAATATATGGATCCTACAAGCTTCCTGAAAGTTGCAGAAAATTTTTATGAAAACTCTCTGGCCTCTGGCTCTATTGTGCTGACAGGTTTTGGCAAAAAGGGGAAAAATATCAATATTAATTAGATTTTGACAAAAAGAAATAAGGACCCTCATATCTTGTCATAATACCGGTACTAGTTTCCTGAAAGTTTAAAAAAAAAACACAAAAAAACCTAGCATCTACTGCTCTGAAAAGAAGTGTGGACAGGCCAGAAGAAAGGGCCATAACTCTAAAAATGTTAATGGAGGAAGACCACCATTAATTTCCCCATTGACTTCAATGTTAATTTTGGCCTCTTTGCCCACCTCCAACTCTTCCCCAAATTTTCGTTGGGCTGAATGCTTTTCACTATAGACAGAAAGACAAATGGTCATGTCTTTGCACTAAAATTTGTATGAGGTTGACCACCAAAATTTTGAGATACACAAACTTGAAGAAGCATACTAAAAACATGTAACTAGTTGCCGTACATATCACCGTAGTCAACCTGATAACCCTGTTATCCTTCCACCTCAAAATCATTAATATTTACCAAATTCTGGCAGAAAATGTTAATTCAAACCCTCTTCGTCTATTCTAGACAAAAAATCAACAAAAATGGGCATGCAAAATGGGAGAGAAAAGAGACAGAGAGAGAATTGCTATAAATAGATGAACTACATTTTGTGGGTACGGAGATGGTGAAATTTAATGGTGGTCTGCCTCCTATATGCTTTTATAAATTCATATATCATCAAAATTCTTTTCTTTATAGCTTAACATTTATTTTTGCAAAATTATTATAATACAGAATCAAAACCAGCGGCTGCCAGGCAGGATACGCCCACATTTTTGAGAGATGGATAGAGAACAAGCTAAAAAGAAAGTGATTTTTCCTACAATCAAGGGCCATAATTCATGAAGTTACAATTTGATATGCGCAAATATCAAAAGGAACCAAGATCTTTGGCTTATAAACATGCATTTCAAGTTTCATAAAAATCGGATTAAAATTGTAACCTCTACAGGGTCCACAACCTTGATATACCATATTTTTACACCTTTTGCGTACAAGCGGCGGCCATTTTGTCCGGCAGTTTTGGTTTGATTTTCAGGAAATTTGAACTCAACGTTTATGATGGTGTTACGGTGATATATTCAAACAATTTTTAAAATCAGATAATAACTGATAATAAAATATGCTCCAGAAACAAAATCAGGACGAAAGGCTGGATTTCAGAAAATAAAATAATGGGTAAGATTATTTTAAAGGTATCTTGAACAGTCAAATGTGTTTCCATGGAAACACATAAAATTATCAAATCTGAGAAATTCAAAATAAGTGCCAAGAAGATATCTTGAACGGTTTATGAGATATGCTCCGGAAACAAAATTGTACACCAAAAACTAAGTCAAATTTGTTTCCATGGAAACACAAAAAATATAAATCCCAGAAATTCCTAAATGGCAAAAGGCACAACTACTGTAATGAGTAGATGTCTGTACAAAGTTTCAAAAAGATATCTTGAATGGTTTATGAGATATGCTTCGGAAACAAAATTATACACCAAAGACTAAGTCAAATTTGTTTCCATGGAAACACAAAAAAATATAAATCCCAGAAATTCCTAAATAGCACAAGGCACAACTACTGTAATAGGTTGATGTGAGTGTAAAGTTTCAGAAAGATATCTTGAACGGTTTATGAGATATGTTCCGGAAACAAAATTGTACACCAAAAACTAAGTCAAATTTGTTTCCATGGAAACACAAAAAATGTAAATCCCAGAAATTCCTAAATAGCAAAAGGCACAACTACTGTAATGAGTAGATGTCTGTACAAAGTTTCAAAAAGATATCTTGAACGGTTTATGAGATATGCTCCGGAAACAAAATTATACACCAAAAACTAAGTCAAATTTGTTTCCATGGAAACACAAAAAAATATAAATCCCAGAAATTCCTAAATAGCAAAAAGCACAACTACTGTAATAGGTTGATGTGAGTGCAAAGTTTCAGAAAGATATCTTGAACGGTTTATGAGATATGCTCCGGAAACAAAATTGTACACCAAAAACTAAGTCAAATTTGTTTCCATGGAAACACAAAAAATATAAATCCCAGAAATTCCTAAATAGCAAAAGGCACAACTACTGTAATAGGTTGATATGTGTGCAAAGTTTCAGAAAGATATCTTGAACGGTTTATGAGATATGCTCCGGAAACAAAATCGGACAGACGGACGGACCCCGTTTCAATATCCCTCCCTAACCTCGTTCGGCGTGGGATAAAAAGGCGATTTTGCATACAATTAGGGGCCATAATTCAGGAATTTACGGTCCGATATGCACCAATATCGAAAGGAACTGAGATCTTTAGGTTATAAACTTACATTTCAAGTTTCAACAAAATCGGATAAAAATTGTGACCTCTATAGGGTCCACAAGCTAAAAACGTGATTTTTCGTCCAAACAGGGGCCATAAGCCATGAAGTTTTGATCCGATACATGTCAATATCGAAAGCAGCCGAGATCTTTTGAGGATAAACCTATATTTCAAGTTTCGTCAAAATTGGACAAGAATTGTGACCTGTAGAGAGTCCACAAACAAATTGTGGACGGACAGGGGCGACGACCACATACGTCTTCATGAAAATATGAGCGTATAAAAAAATAATTACAGAAGAAATGGTGACCTTTTAGAGTTATGTACTGTTTTGTATAGCGGGTTGCAGCTCAGGTCCATGGGCCTTTTGTACTAGAATTGAAGATTCTTGCTTAATTTTGTCAAAATATGAGTTCTGCAAAAAGATTTAAAGAGTTTCAAACAAGTCACATCAAAAATATTCAAAATACTGGAATATTTTTTAAAAATTGACTTTCTTTTACCCTTTTCTACAAAATGGTCCATTTTTTACACTTTGTATGTCTCAAGATGCCAATATTTCCCTATTTCTTGGAAAGTCTGAGATGAAAGGCATTTATTTCTAGAAACCTTGGCCAGTATATGACAAGACAAGCTGCAAATTGGTTGGATTGAAGGTAACTGTAAGGAACTACAATGAAACTCAGGGGCGTACATAACGATTTTGTTTGGGGGGGTGTTTAGCCAAAATGCAACCGACTGATGCACATACCCCCAATACGAGTGACATAGTCAGGAGCCACCCACCACACGTGCCAGTTTTCTAGGGGTCATGTGCAGTAGCGGATCTAGAAGCTGGGAATAGGGGGTGGGGCAGTGATGGGATTTCCAAAAAATTATTGTCGGACATTTTTTCCCGAAAATAAAGGGGCCTAACTCTTATCGTAATTTAAGCAGACGTTTTCAAAACACAATTAAGAATCACGTGTCAATAAAATATATTCAAATTCATATGTAAAAAAAATAGGTGCACCTCGTTATATTTCATGTTTAAAACCCGTACGGTATTCAAATTTATGTCAATAATATTCCTACAAAATTACATGACATCAATACTATAGAATGGCAGCGTGCCGACTGCTGTCGATCTGTTTCAAACTCCCCCAAAATTACCGTATTTTTCGGGTCATACATCGGTACATTTTTCAGCAAAGTCCGACATTCATCTGATACTACGTTTCGATTTATATACGGAAGGTAAAAAAATGACATCCCGAAATTTATTTGGCCGTAAACCGAAGTTAACGACGCTCAAATACAACGAGCGTGTGACACCAACTAACTGCTAAATAATTGCATTCGACTGTAGCACGCGCTATCGTCTTAAACAATTAACTACTTACGTCATTCCAATCGAAATATTCGTCAACATTTCTTAGCGTGTTTATTTATTTATTTATTTATTTAAAGACATAAACCCCATTCAAAATATGATCATAAATCCGACAATATGCCATAAAAATAGAATCTTTTCCCGGACATCAGTCGTATTGGATTCGGCACGTATACACCTCTTAATTTCACGTGTCTCGCGAGATTTGTACTTTCATTTTAATTACTGAACTATAGCGCCATATGCGTGTGTGTGAAATATCTTTATTTAACTTCGGCTTCCACCGAAAATATTTGATATAATTTTATAGTTACCATCTTGATATATCTTGGATTCATTTATAATTTTAGTATTTGACACTGTTTCTTGTAAACAGAGTATCTCTGGGTAGCTGAATTTATCTGTTAAGATGTTTATTTTTTCATCAAAGCCTCTTTGAATATTAGAGGATATAATATGCATAATTAGTGAGATAATCAAGATTTTCACTATAGACATTGTAGAATAATAATTGTATTGTTATATATAAACTTATTCAGTTAATATGATTTCACAATTGAGTCCAATTCACTTTTTAGTTATTATATCAGTTTTTTCTAGTCAGTCTATTAAAGACCTCAACTATTGGACTTTTCATTCTTAGTTTTTTATCTGTTACATCTTCATTATTGCTGATATTCCTTTTCTTTGTATTTTTGCTATCTTGGATTTTAACATAGTCTGCACTGGTACACTCAGTTTCCTGTGCTTCTTTGACTGCAACATCATTTTTGTTTATATTAAAATCCATTAATGTATCAATAATTTTATGGTCGTCTTTATTCACATCATTATTTGGATCAAATGTGTCAGAGTGGGTTTGTTTCAACTCTGTTTCATCATTTTCTGTTGTAGAATTCTCCTGAGGAGAGTATTCCAGATTTAGATCCATTTTGGGAGTTATAGGTAGCTCATCTATATTTCTGTATGGATCAGGAGTTATAGGTAGCTCTGTAGATGGAGAGGATTGCAGGGGTGGAAAATCCTCTGGGATGGGTGAGAAGTTAGATTTATTTGTACGTTTGTCAGGCAAGGGACAATCCCTTCCTAGGTGGCCCTGTTCTCCGCAGTTGAAACAAGTCTTATTATATCTGATCTGCCCTTCGTATTTGACGCCTACTCGTAGGCCTTTTATGAAAATATGGGATGGGATAGGCTTGAACACGCGTTTGACATGAATGATTCTCACCCCACTTTCTATTGTTGGAAAATTTTTGTAGCATGGCCTCTCACATCTGATGACATCGGCATAGTTTGATATTTTTCGTGCAATGTCCTTATTATCTATTTCATAGAATAGATTATAGATAACTATTGGGATAGAGTCTACTGGGTATTCCCAGATAGCTTTGATGGTGCCTTTCGACTTATATTCCAGATCATTGATGGTAAATGATTCAAAGAGTCCAACAAAGATATCTTTAGATTGTTGAGAGTCAACTGTCAGATAGAAATTCCCATTTCCTATATTCTGAAGACATTTAATATATTTTATATCAAAATTATCATGGGCTAGGATAAATGTTAAAAGTTCAACTGATGACAATTTTGTCTCACCATATACTGGAGATATAAGTATTGTATTCTCTCTATTGAGTTCATTTGTCACACTAACACCTTCAGGTCCCACAGTTGTTTTTGTAGCCCTTATATTTTGCATGGCTTTTGTTTATATAGTTTTGTTTATAATTTTTTTTTTTTTTTTTTTTTTTTTTTTTATTTCACTTTTATATACGACGCAAATATACACTATAGTACAGTTTAGAGAAGAGTCACGACCAAGTTATCACTATTGTTCTTCTTGGCCGCCATATTGGCTCTTCAGCTCTCGGTTATTGTAAGCAACACAAACTTCAATTATCCTCTATCGATCCTTCACAGGACGCCAGATTCGTTTTGATATTTATCACATTTTAGTTCATATGTAAAACTCTATACATTGTTTCAGATGATATATTTGAAAACACTATATATATCTTTACTTTAGTAGACCTCTAACAAAAACACGTCTAGCCATGTAGGAATGACCATTTGCGATCAATATCACAGACAAGTTATCGGATACAATGTATGTTGATTTGAGGTGTTATATACTATCAGGATATGTGACATGTATGACTAATTTCTACGTGTTATTGTCCGACACAAAGAAGATTAAAACGTGAGACAATGGACAAATCACGGGTTAATCAGATTAAGTTTATAATCTCTCTTATTGGATTGATATATCGTCCGACAAAGGAGAAGCAATGACACCTGTTCAGGATTGATTTGATGAATCATCCGACAAAGGATTAAGTCAGCCAATCAAGGCAGAATAGTAGTTAATCAAGGTAGGTGTGTAGACGACATAACACGATAAATAGTCGATCACTTAATTACCTAATCAATCCAGCCTATTATCAACGATAATCGGGTTGCACGGTAGTTATACACTCAGTGGCTGAATAATGACTGTTCGGACTCATCGACAATCGCAGCTTTAGTACCTGATGGATATTCTATACAACATTGCCCTCGCGGTTCATGTGTAGGAGGCGTAGCACATATATTTAAGTCATCTATTAAGTGTAAGAAAATCCGTCATGACCGTTTTGATTCTTTTGAAATTTTGGATTGTTCTCTACAGTTTTCTTTCAAGGAAACTAGGATTATTACAATTTACCGCCTGCCCAATAGCAAATTGTGTCAAAAGTTTATGGAAGAATTTGGATTATTTCTGGACCAGTTGATGATGACTGAGTGTTGCACTATTATTTGGGGAGATTTTAATTTTCATGTTGATTTTTGTGATATGCTGAATAATAGATCTCTCACACAACATGTTTCTTCTTCTACTCATAACGGTGGACATATTCTCGATCTGGTGATAACTAATCCACGTGATATTAAACTGGATAATCTCTCTGTCTCGGACAAATTAATATCTGATCGTTTTCCGGCAACTTTTAATCTTATGATCCAGAAACCACAACCAACAAGAAAGACTTTAACATATCGAAGGTTTAAATCATTTGACATAAATAAATTTAAAGCGGAAATAGTGAACTCGAATTTCAATGGCATTCAATGTATTCAAGATATACAAGAGAAGGCAACCCAATATCACTCAAAGCTTGCTGAAATTTTGGACTCGCTTGTTCCTCTTCAAACGAAAACATTTACGATTCGTCCCAATACGCAGTGGTTTAATGATTCTATTTTAGAAGCCAAAAGGGACCGTAATAAGGCTGAACATCTGTGGCGGAAAACAAATCTACATGTCCATAAACAGATTTATAAATCTTTAAAAAACAATGTGAATAAATTAATTGATGATGCTAAAATTAAATTTTACTCTGATAAAATAGAAAATGGCGAAAACAGACAAAAAGACCTGTATAAAGTTGTGAATTCCCTTTTGGACCATAATGCTGAGCGTACTATCCTCCCGGACATTGATAATGACACTGAACTTGCAAATTTATTCTCTGATTTCTTTTAAATAAAAATACAGAAAATACGAACTGATAACTTGATGATTTAAATAAAACTATTGACTTTAACGCTCATGATTTTGTTTATTTAGAAAATTTTAACTTGGTTAGTAAATCTTTTGTTTTAAAGCTAATTAAATTGTCTGCTCCTAAATCTTGTTCATTAGATCCTGTTCCGACTTCTGTTCTTAAGGACTGTCTAGACGAAGTTATTCCAGTTTTTACCAATATTATTAATTCTTGTATATCATCCGCTACTATTCCCAACGTTTTCTAACGAGCTTATGTTACCCCTTTAATTAAAAAGTCTACACTGGATCCTAATGTTTTTAAAAATTACAGGCCAGTCTCTAACTTAAGTTTTATTTCTAAAATATTGGAGAAATGTATTACTTCTCAGATAAAGGCCCATCTAGATGATAACTGTTTGTATGAACCATTTCAAAGTGCTTATAAACAATTTCACAGTACCGAAACAGCTTTAACCCGGGTTTCAAATAATATTTTAATGGAAATTGATAATAGAAAATGTACATTTTTAATTTTATTAGATTTATCTGCTGCTTTCGACACGGTGGACCTTTCCATTCTTCTACGTAGACTTCAATTTAAATTCGGTATTTGTGGCTCTGCATTAAATCTTTTAGAGAGTTATCTTGTGGGTAGAAAATAGTGTATTTTAGTTAATTGCAAATTGTCGTCTGAATCTGTTTTGTCATCTGGGGTTCCCCAAGGTTCTGTTCTTGGTCCGATTTTATTTACCCTCTATACGTCACCATTAGGAGATATTGTCAGAAAATATGGTCTCAGCTTTCATTTGTATGCCGATGATACTCAATTATATATTTCATTTACACCTAATTGTCCATCTTCTTTCAATTTATCAAAATTGCAACTTGAGAACTGTATTAGTGAAATTAGAAAATGGATGTCAAAGAACTTTCTAAAATTGAATGATGATAAAACCGAATATTTGTTATTAGGCTCAAGGCATCAATTAAGTAAATCTGCACAAGATAACCCCCCTGTTGTAATTGGTAATTGTGATATATTTTCATCTTATTCTGCTTGTAATATTGGCGCTATCTTTGATAGTTTTATGCTTATGGGAGCTCAAGTAAATAATATTTGTAAATTGTGCTATTTTAATATAAGAAATATAGGTAAAATACGTAAATGTGTAACTGTAGAGGCCACTAAGTCACTTGTTAATTCTCTGGTCACTTCTCGATTAGATAACTTTAATTTACTTTTAGTTGGTTTACCTTTAAAGCTTATAGATAAATTACAAAAAGTACAGAATACTGCGGCTAGACTTGTTACTTTAACTAAGAAATGTGACCACATAACTCCTGTTTTATATAATTTACACTGGTTACCTGTTAAATATCGAATTGATTTTAAGATTTTATTACTTACTTTTAAATGTTTAAATAATTTAGCTCCTGTTTACCTCTCAGATCTTTTAGAACTTTATACACCTGGCCGAACATTACGTACATCAGATAAACTACTTTTAAAGCCCAAAACTGGTCAACTAGTCTCCTATGGTCAGCGCTCTTTTAGTTATCAAGCATCTGTTTTATGGAATAATCTACCATTTAGTTTAAGATTTGTACATCTCTGTATTCTTTTAAAAAAAAAATTAAAACACATTTATTTAATCAGGCTTTTAACTGACTCTGTATACAATCGTTAACATGCCCATAATCTTGTTGTTTATGTGTGATTTACATTGTCACTTTGTAAAGTGCCTCTGAACATGTTATATGAAAGGGTGCACTATAAATATGCTGTAATAATAATAATAAAAGTAGTATGAAAAGGCTATTAATTAATATTTTATTGCTCTGTAAGTGCCACATTTTAAAAGATCACCACAAATAATAGATTTACATCCAAAATGTAAAACAATAAGCTGCAGAAGACACATCTAAAAAATATCCATTTTGGTTTGTGGACTCATTTGGAAGAAATGTCATAGGATTACATGTTTGGCCATAAACAAAAAGTCTTAGAAATCCTTGAAATCTTATATGTAACTATTTGTTTGTGCAAAATAAAATGCCTGGTTACAATTCAAGCACAAAATCCAAATACTGCTAATTTGGAGTCAATATATGTTCAATTGAATATCCAAATATCATGTTCAAGAAAATTGGAGGGGAGGGGTGGGGTGGGGAAGGTGAGCCAGTCTAAATGAAATGAAGACAGAGAAATTTCCCTGCAAACACATAGATTTTACTTTCTCAAAAAGGGAAATGCAGCAATTTCAGGTTTTAAAAGATTAAAATAGTGTTGAGCCAGAAGAACACAGCTTCAAAATGCAGTTCACTCATGTTTTGAAAATTCTAACATACTTCAGCAGTACATAATTTTTAAATTTCTGACAAACACATGGATACTTTATCAATATCTGACAAACACATGGATCCTTTCAAAGTTATTTAACAATGGAAATAAAGACATGCAAGACATTTTGGTTCATTTTACAACAGATGAATAATTAAAATTTTGACGGCATTACAGGGGGTAATCTGAAGAATTTCAGATTTTTAGGCAAAATTGAGTGAAATTATGATTACTATCTTCCCGTCTAACTTTCATGATGCAGAAAAAGTAAAAATTACACATTAAAATATTTTCCACTAATTTTGAAAAGTAAATAAATACCAAAATCAAAAATTCCCCTTACAACTTTGTAAAATATTTTTGAAATTTTACCATTTCACTGTTTTTTTTATCAAAATGTCCTACATGTATATCACATTTTCTGATAATTTGGAGATCATATCATGAAATTTAGGCCCCTCATCCACTGTCAGGTTGTTTACATACAGGAGGCAGACCACAATTAATTTCCCCATTGACTTCAATGTTAATTCTGGCCTCTTTGCACTAAAATTTGTATGAGGTTGACCACCAAATTTTGGAGATACACAAACTTGAAGAAGCATACTAAAAACATGTAACTAGCTGCCGTACATATCACCGTAGCCAACTTGATAACCTCCTAAATCCTTCCACCTCAAAATCATGAATATTTACCAAAACCTGGCAGAAAATGTTAATTCAAACCCTCTTCGTCCATTCTAGACAAAAAAAATCAACAAAAATGGGCATGCAAAAGGGGAGAAAAGAGACAGAGAGAGAATTGCTATAAATAGACGAACTACAATTTGTTGGTACCGAGATGGTGAAATTTAATGGTGGTCGGCCTCCTAATCAGAGTTCAATGAAAATTGGGATGACTGGTTTTAACTAAAAGAAATAGGGATCAGAAAAATCTGATAAAAACTAGTGGCGTCTGAGTGCTAACAAGAAATAAGTGTGGATGGATCGATAGATGGAAATGGTGATTACAACACATTAACATGTCAGTGTATAAAAAGCAACATATTCTCAAATATCTGAGGATTCTGAAAATATAAACAGATTTTTTATAGGCCATGTATGTAATTTCGAAAATTATACACTTCAAAAGATACTCTCGCGCCTGTACACACATGTGCTGATTGAAAGTGCTAACTCAATGGTTCAATTCACAAAATATTCAGACAATTTTTCACATTATCTGAGCACCTATTGCAAAGAGTGTATCCTGAAAAAAGCAATAAAACTTGTTACACATGAACAATATTACAATGTATTTTAAGAATAAACTCATCAAATAATTTGCCAATGTCCTACTTTTCTTCACCAACCAGGATAGTGAAGATGGGACCTTGCCAAGGGGCACAACATCCAGTTCCTAAATTAAGGGCAAAGGCATTAGTATTTTTTACTAAGCCATTGTCAAATATTTAATAGCACTTGATGAAAAATGTGAAGCTTTAGAAAAGGATTTCTTTGGTCCTCTTTCCACAAACTATCTTTAAAAGTGTAATGTAGATCAAGACAACAGGGATCCTGACATCTGTAATTTTTGTAATGGATACCACTGACATTGTTCCTGTGTTAATTTGACATTGTGTAATTTTATGTAGACAGCACCAAGAAAATTATTTTCCTTTAAAACATCATGATCCCACACTGTCACTTGCAGGATACGATACTTCAGTTGTTCTAATGACATTTTGTATTCAAGCTGAAAAATTCAAGAATAAAAAAAATTAGGGAAAAGCTGCTACTTTTATTAAATAAGAAGTTTCACTATGGCAATCATCACAGCTAAAAATTTGGAATATGGTATAATATCAGTTTTGATTTACATTTGTCTAAGAGGACATGGGTGAATGGTTTAAGTAACAATAGGTTTAATGGCTATCAATAATGGCAAAGAGGGGAATTTAGAGAAAAGCAACTAAAATTGGGGTGAACTAGTTTCTCTTTTCAGACTAACAGATATTGCATATGATATGGGTTTGCCCCCCACCACTGTCCGTCACATCGTGAAACACAATATCATTTACAAGGTTTTCTGACAACCAAACTAATTTGAACAAAAATGTAGCCTCTATCGCGTTAACAAGGTTATCAAAAAAATGGGTATAACTCAAGAAAATCTATAATGACGGACAGATAGAAGCGATGACTATTTACACAAAAACTTCATGTGGGCTTTTAAAAATGTTACTTTCTCTACTGAATGTGAAATTCATATTAAATTGTTAGAAATAATAGGGAAGACTAACCAGTTCATTAAATGTTGGATTGGCTGAACTACGAGCTATTTTAGTTTTACGTTTTGTATGTTTATCTGGATCAGGTAATAGATAGGCTTTAACATATGGACTTGGTGTATCTGTTCCTCTACATGTCTGCAATAAAAATCAATAATATTGATAAATGTAGTAATGTTTCAAATCAATTACAAGAGGTATCAGGTGTTCATCAAAGAGTAAGCTTACAAATTCTGCATAGTTATTTGCAATCAACACAACAGATGGACAGGGTCTTTAGTGTGACTCTACCCTTTGTCACGTACAAACCAAGCTGTTGCCCACATTTTGGAACAAGCTAACAATGAGGCTGATATGTCCCCCGCCGAAATCTCAAAATAAATAGATGACACATATCAATTAATCGCATATTTATTTTTTTCAAAAGAATCAAGCAATCAAACTGATTATCATCTATACACTAAGTTTTATCACACATTATCCTGTCTCAAAGCATCGACCAATGAAATTGCTTAGCTCTGTTTAGCTTTAGCTCGAAATGTTAATTACTGAAGTCAGTAATGAACACCTACATCAAGTTTAACCATTCTACCTCAATTAAAAGCAGAGTTGTTATGTTCCAAAGTCTTGACCAATCAAATTGCTTATCGCTCCTTAGCCTAAGCAGAAATTCTAATCATCGAACTTAGTCAAGGTAATGATATAATGAATCTATGCTCGGAGTTTCATCACTCTCACCAAACTTATCGTGCCCCAAAGCATCAACCAATCAGATTGCTTATCTCTGCTTACTGTAAGCATACAATGTTTATCATCGATCTTCATCAAGACATTGGCCTAATGAACACCTACACCAAGTTTTAACATTCCACTTCAATTAAGGAGAGTTATTGTGTGCCAAAGTCTCAACCAATCAAATTGCTTATCGCCCTACTTACCCTAAGCAGAAAATGCTCATTATCGAACTTAGTCAAGGTATTGATGTAATAAAATTATACACCAAATTTCATCACTCTCACTTAATTAGAACTAAAGTTATTGTGTCCCAAAGCATCAACCAATCAAATTGCTTATCTCTGCTTACCCTAAGGAGAAAATGCTCGTCTTCGAACTTCATCAATGCATTGACCTAATAAACATTTACACCAAGTTTGAACGTTCTAGCTAAATTAGAACTAAAGTTATCGCGTCCCAATCAACTAATCAAATTGCTTATCTCTGCTTACCCTAAGCAGAAATGCTCATCTTCTAACTCCATCAAGGCATTGACCTAATAAACATCTACACCAAATTTGGACATTCTAGCTCAATTAGAAGGAAAGTTATTGTGTCCCAAAAAGTGTGACGGACAGACAAGGTAATGATATAATGAATCTATGCTCGGAGTTTCATCACTCTCACCAAACTTATCATGCCCCAAAGCATCAACCAATCAGATTGCTTATCTCTGCTTACTGTAAGCATACAATGTTTATCATCGATCTTCATCAAGACATTGGCCTAATGAACACCTACACCAAGTTTCAACATTCCACCTCAATTAAGGAGTGTTATTGTGTGCCAAAGTCTCTACCAATCAAATTGCTTATCTCCCTACTTACCCTGAGCAGAAAATGCTTAGTCAAGGTATTGATGTAATAAAATTATACACCAAATTTCATCACTCTCACTTAATTAGAACTAAAGTTATTGTGTCCCAAAGCATCAACCAATCAAATTGCTTATCTCTGCTTACCCTAAGGAGAAAATGCTCGTCTTCGAACTCCATCAAGGCATTGACCTAATAAACATTTACAGCAAGTTTGAATGTTCTAGCTCAATTAGAAGGTGAGTTATTGTGTTCCAAAGTCTCAGCCAATCAAATAGCTTACCCTGAGCAGAAAATACTCATTATCGAACTTAGTCAAGGCATTGATGTAACGAAACTATACCCCAAGTTTCATCACTCTCACTTAATTAGAACTAAAGTTATCATGTCCCAAAGCATCAACCAATCAAATTGCTTATCTCTGCTTACCCTTAGCAGAAAATGCTCATCTTTGAACTCCACCAAGACATTTAGCTAATAAACACCTACACCAAGTTTGAACATTCTAGCACAATTAAAGGAGAGTTATTGTGTTCCGAAGTCTCAGCCAATCAAATAGCTTATAGCTCTGCTAACCCCGAGCAGAAAATGCTCATTATTGAACTTAATCAAGGTGTTGATGCAATGAAACTATACACCAAGTTTCATCACTCTCACTTAATTAGAAGTAAAGTTATTGTGTCCCAAAGCATCAACCAATCAAATACCATATCTCTGCTTACCCTAAGCAGAAAATGCTCATCTTCGAACTCCATCAAGGTATTCACCTAATAAGCACCTACACCAAGTTTGAAAAATCTAGCACAATTAGAAGGAGAGTTATTGTGTTCCAAAGACTCAGCCAATCAAATAGTATATAGCTCTGCTTACTCTGAGCAGAAAATGCTCATCATTCAACTTAGTCAAGGCATTGATGCAATGAAACTATACACCAAGTTTGATCACTCTCACTTAATTAGAAGTAAAGTTATTGTGTCCCAAAGCATCAACCAATCAAATTGCTTATCTCTGCTTACCCTAAGCAGAAAATGCTCATCTTTGAACTCCATCACGGCATTGACCTAATAAACACTTACACCAAGTTTGAACGTTCTAGCTCAATTAGAACTAAAGTTATCGTGTCCCAATCAACTAATCAAATTGCTTATCTCTGCTTACCCTAAGCAGAAATGCTCATCTTCTAACTCCATCAAGGCATTGACCTAATAAACATCTACACCAAATTTGGACATTCTAGCTCAATTAGAAGGAAAGTTATTGTGTCCCAAAAAGTGTGACGGACAGACAAACAGACGGACAGACAGACAGACAGACGGACAAACCCATTTTAATAGTCCCCTGCTTTCTTCAAAAGGCGGGGGAGAATAAATAGACAGGGGACATGGAATCAACGACACATCTATCTATAGACTTGGGAACCCCGACCCTTTTTTACTTTGCTATACAACTGGGTGTTCCAACTTTGGATTTATATTTATTTATTTATTTTATTTTTTTCCATGTACAATTCATTGACTGAAAAAACAACCTCTAAAGTAAGAACAAGCGGTTGTCAATCAAGATACGACCACATTTTGCAGGAGATGGACAGAGAACAAGGTAAAAAAAAAGAGGCAATTTTTCACACAATCAAGGGCCATAATCCAGGAAGGTATGGTCTGATATGCGCAAGTATCAAAAAGGAACCCAGATCTTATCAAAATCAGATAAAAATTGTGACCTCTAGAGGATCCACAACTTGTTATTACATACTTTTACACTATCAGTGGCCATTTTGTCCGGCAGTTTCAGTCCGATTTTCACGAAATTCGAACTCAACCGTCATTAGGGTGTGTATAACCAGGGGTCCGAGAAACTTAAATCTAAAAGCCTGAATCTGACCCAAAAATTGTGAGTTTGTATACATTGAGTTGAGTCATGACTTTCATTCCATTGTGGGCAAAAACAAATAGTCACATACAGCTCTGGCAATTAGCCAAAAACGTCGACAGCATAAATTGCCGTCGGGACCAATTAATCCCACGGCAAATCACCTATTGACGATTATGAAAATATAAGTTTATTGAAATTCAATGAGTTTTATTAACGCTGTTCACCTGTTGACGTTGAATATTGTTGTGTTTGCTTTTTAATTTTATCGGCAACGTTGATAAGAAAAAAACCCTGGTCATTTATGTGTGAAAATTCCCTGTAAACGTCTACATTTATGATTAAGCCTGTGCAACTATTACAAGCTATATTATTTATTTTTATGCGCTGAAAGTAAAAACAGTAAACCAAGTCTATAGACTTTTCATCTGTGAAAGTTTGTGCTCTGGAAAACCCCGGCCAACTTTCCTATACTTAAATGGACTGGTTACTCTTAATAGTAAATTGATACTGCTAATAAAGCTTGTTAAGAACAACCATAATATGGTATCTGAAGATATTTTGTACCTCACCTGTGAAGGGAGCATCCCCCATCAACATTTTAAGGACATTTAATGTGATTTTATTGGCGATTTTTAGACCTGTAATTTTGGAATTTACCTTCCGGAAATACGTCAGAATGCACCAAATTGAATCTAATTAATAACCAGATTTTTCAGGGGGAGGGCCCCCAGACACCCCATTACAACGTGTAGCACCTTCGGCGCTCGCAGCGGTGGGCTATGCCCACCGCAATTAGTTAAGCAATTATCCAACCTAGACCCCCCCCCTGCAAAAAATCCTGGATCTGCGCCTGATAACAGTGATATATTTGACCGGTCTTAAAAATTTGCGCACAATCAGGAGCCATCCTCCAGGAAGTTACGGTCCAGTGAGCGCCATTATCGAAAGGAACCAAGATCTTTGGGTTATAAACATAAATTACATAATAAAAATTGGATCCTCTCGACCCATAGTTTATTAGTACCGGGAGAAAAATAATAATGCTATTTCATGCAATCTTTAACAATAGAAATATTAACACGTGTTTAAGTTTAGCTCTTCTTATAAAGCCCCTATTTCCATATTAAGTCAAAGGTCTGTATTTTGCAAGCAAAGACAACTTTGTGACATAACATTTGATCAAATCACAAGAGGCTATATGGACACGTGTAGGTCATACATAGCTCAGTATTGTGCATGCAAAAGTTCGACAATGGGCAATATCACCGCGGGTCGACGCGGGCGCATGTCCCTATTTGCATTAGTGTTATTTGATATGTGAATTATCAAATCAGGGGCAAAAAATCAAGAAAGTTATGGCCTGAAAGGGACAGAAATCTTTGGGATATAAAGATATGTTTTAAGTTTCATCAAAATTGGATAAAAATTGTGATCTCTAGAGGGGCCACAACCTTCGTATTACACACTTCTACACAATTTGCGTACAAAGAGCAGCCATTTCGATTTTCCTGAAATACAAATTCAGCCTTCATTATGGTGGAATGGTGATGTATTTAAACTGTTTTTAAAATCGGAAAAAAAAAATTGTGACCTCTAGATAATCCACAAGCTAAATATGCGGTTTTTCGAACAATCAAGGGCCATAATCCAGGAAGTTAAGATCCGATATGCGCGAATA